CATGCTATATGCAATCGTCAGGCCACATGTCGCCTCTAAGTGTTGACTTCTATGTTCACTTTTATATTTACACACGCTCTATCTCTGATATTGAGCACTTTATTCCATAAATATAGCACACCTTAAGACTATATTTCTTTATATATATATATATATATATATATATATATATATATAAAGTTGTAGCCTGTGTCTGTCTGTCTGTTTGTTTGTTATGGAACTCCTCCTAGGGTTTTGGAGATAGACCCTATAACCATATATATTCTGAAATTACATTACCTAGGACATTTGGATAAGTATATTTTATTTTGATCAAAACGTACCTCCGGAGGTGGGAAGAAACAACCTCCCCATTGAATTTTTTTCTCTTTGATTTAAATTAAATTTAAATTTGAATAAGGGAATGACTCCTATCCAAAATATAGACGGAGAAAGCCAGAAGATGGAGAGGTCACATTGGCAAGATCAAAATGAGACAATATAGACATCAAGTTGAGCAAGAAATCACCAATTAGTGGGTAGTGCCTTATAATACATATTTGTTGTGACAATTCGACCGTCATATCAATGTTTAGGTATGCTATATTTATGGGTTAAAGTGCTCAGTATCAAGGATAGAGCATATGTAAATATAAAAGAGGGCATTGAGGTCAACACCCAGAGGCAACAGTCTGTTTCATGCTAAATGCCATTGTTAGGCCTATCGCCTCTGGGTGTTGACTTCAATGTTCATTTTTCTGTATATTGTGTGTGTGTGTGATGTACACTTTAAATATGTATGCATAAATAATAAATGCACTTAAGAAAATGCTAACTACATGTTCTTAAGGAAAACACTACATAAAATGCATAATTATGTTCTCTCTTTTTCTCTTATACATACATGCCTACATACATAAATAAAATTGTACACATCTATATTAAAAGGAAACTTTATCTTCAATCATTACATAATACAATTGAATTCGTACCATTTACTATTTTCTAGTTCTGGGTAAACTGAAATAGTTTTTATGAATGGCAACTGTCAACACTATCAGCTTTGTCGTTTGTGGCTGTTGCAGCAACCTCTATAAAAAGGAATATCAGAAATATTTCTTTCCTTTCTTCCTCTAAGATGTGTTTTGGCTGATGATGAATCATTTAGGTATGAAAAGCATCATCCCCACTGAATTAATAGCCACCCTAAGAATTTTCTTGGGAGCTGTTTGACTGCTGCTTGAATAGATAGACAAGTACTGTACCAAGTTGACAAACCAAAACAATAGCAGAAACAGGGAAAAGTACAATTAATTGTTTGTACATTTGATTGCAGTCATCACTTTGAGGATTTAGATCTATTCTTAACTGAACTGTCTGTGGTAGCCAGAGTTTTTATGAAAGAGATTACGTCAAATGAATTTTTGAAATGAACTAATATTATAGCATAGAAGTATAAAGATATTTATTTATTTCTCTGTCTTTGAGATGTGTCCTGCGTATGCATGATAAACTACATCTGGCAGCAAGGCCTCTGATTAGGAGGTTTTGAAGAACATGGAACCACCTCTTAATTGCTGTTGCTCCCAGGTTCACCCTGACCTGGGGTGGTACTAGTTGTTAGAGTCCCAACTATGGGCAAATAGTTAACCCCCCAAACTGGAGTGAAAACACTATAAAAGTATAAAAATACATTTTTATAGTAAAAATACCAGCAATACAGTTTTGAGAAAAAAAAAAAAAAAAATACCAGCAATACATTTTTGTAAAAGAAATTACTAATGCTCCCAATGACCCATAAGGAGTTGATATGCCTCTAAACAAAAAAAAAAAATCTTTGAGATAATTCATTTGGGACATTCTTCCATATCCTTTATTTTGCTATGATCAGGATGGTTATAATTTTGATATTCTTTAAATTCATCTACTTACTAATAGGTTCAATTCTGTAGATTATTTCTCGTTTTCTAAATAATTTGTAATCATACTAACAATCTCTTATTTTATTTAAATTATGTGAAAAAAATATTTTTTTTTTTTTTACGTGAAAATCAGCAAGATAAATACAGGATGTCCACAAAGTTCGTGTGCACTTTAAATTATTAAATTTTAAAAAAGTGCACACGAACTTTATGGACACCCTGTATTTTATATTGGTTAATTACATATTAAAATTAACCAGTACTTGCTCTATGTACCACCGGAGGTACATTTTATTTAGTTTGATTCTTAATATAACTATCTCCTCTCCTAAGCCAAAAATTATTCATTCTCAGAACAAATCAAAAAGAAGACTAACTCTGATATTATTGTGGCTATTGATAACTGACAGATAACATATCATCTATATTTTATTTGTTTTTTATTTTTTTTATTTTTAGTAATGATTGCAATATGCATGTCATATTCTTGAGGGTCATTAAATGTTAAATTTGAGATCAGTCTATCTTGTGGTTTTAGTCTCTGTTCTAGACGTGCACTTTTTTATATTTTTTTAATTTATTTAAGAGAAAATTATAGTGAAGAGAGTGGGATATGTATGCAGCGTAAATGTTATTGGCACAAAAAGTGGAATTGGTGAGTGGAGTTCAGTTTCTAGCCTAGTCTGTTGCATACCATTGACAAAGGCCTGAATCCATCTCTTCTCTCTCCCACCTCTAGCTATGGGTTAAATAGTTGGATAGACTGGGCTCTCTAGCCTAAGGTGGAAACTTTTAAGGAAAGGATAACTCTGAATTCTAAACTTTGGAAAAAGCAACAGGAAACCTCTCCTTTATCTTTCCTAAGTATGCATGGCAATTCACAGATAACAAAAGAAATCTGTGGAGTCCTGATTGCCTATGTCCTGAAGTGACATTTAAAAAAATAATGAAGAGAACTGAGACAGTATTGTTCATTTGTTTTCTATCAGAATTAGCTGAAAAAGTGATGCCAGAATCTGTAATCAGAATTTTGAATGAGTTTACCACAGTTCCATTTCCTGCTATGCTATCAACTGTCTTAAGTTCCATCTCCGAGGAAAATGACCTTCTTTTCTGGATAATATTTTTTTATAAAGAGTTCATAATTAATATTTGTTGTAATGTTAAACAAAGCTGAATTAACATGGATCTAAATTGATAGTGATTTTTAAATAAAAAAAATCTCTATCATATATACAATTGTAGATAAGAGTACTAAGTGATTGCAAGCTGATATAATGTGTTTGATCCACTCTTGTAGCCTTGTCAGGTAGTGTTCAGTAAATATCTACAATAGATAGCTAAAGGTTCATTTCCACTTGGAGGCTTTACTGATAAAGACAACATAAAGGTCAATTGATTTGATTGTGACTTTGTTTTACCTGACTGTCATTTGCATGTATTTAATGTATTAATGTCCACTATCTTACTTTTGAAATGGTGGACATTAATTGGGTTATAGGTAGAAACCTATAATTAAAAGAATAAAAAACGTGTGAAGAAAAACGGAGGCCATTGGACACTTTTTCTTTTTTTTTTTTTTTTTTTGTGACAAGTTAAAAAAAAAATTTAAAAAACAAATTTAATCATTGGTCATGATGAAAGTAAAAATATTCAACTTCTTGAATTGTTAATAAACTGAAGTATCAAAAAATATCCAGCTCCATATTGAAATTTTTTGTCCTTCCTCACATCTAGAAATAAATTTAACCAGATGAGCTAAGTGTTATGTAATAGGTAAAAGGTAGTGTAGCTGTGGTTGCCATGAGATGTGATAGGATTTATCACTGACCATGGAATGATTATTGAGGCACTCTATTTATATTTGGACTATTGTCTATACACTGAATTCTATTTTTTTTAGTTGTAACAAGCATAATCATTCAAGTGAGTGAAAGTTTTGCTGTACTTGTTTTATAAATTATACTTGTGATATGACAGGTTACTTTGTTAGTTATAGATTAAGATCATATTTCAATGAAATTATTAATCATTAAATTACTCCATTAAATAAATTCTTGCCATTCTTTGATGGTCAGTTTGGATTCTGACTTTTGTTTTTAAACTACCACTAAAAAGCAAAGTATTTGTTTATAGCTGTTAGAATATTTTTCCTAAGGATTAACAAGTTTCCTATCAAAGCACTGCATATTCTATATGCCTTTCATGGAATCACTTTCTGTTTATAATTTGTAAGCTAAATAAAGATTATAGCAATTGAAATAATTATAAAAGCTGTTTTGCAGGATTACAGAATTATCTTCATTGATCTGTGCTTTAGGCTTCAATTTTTTTTTTTTTTTTTTTGTTCTTGATGATTAAAACTACAAACCTTTTTTTAATCATGTCATATTAAATTTTTTGTCTAGTTGCTAAGTTTCTTTGTATTTTCAAGACTCTTGCAGGTATGGATAGAATTTTACCTGTTAAATTTGGAATCCTGGTTTAATGATTCCTCAGCTTTCTTAATCAATCCTCATGTGTGGAAAGAATGTTTAATTATACTCTATCTGTATTTTGAGTTTTAAATTCAGTTTCCACTGGCAGATTTCATAATCTGGATGATAATCTTAACATTTTAAGAGTTTAAAAATGCAAATACCATTTGTAAGGATAACTTTTTATTGAAAATGAAAGCTTATTTTAATATTTTTTCTCTCAGGAAAATTTGTAACTTTTTCTTGAAATATGCATACATATATATTGGGTGGCCTGACAATTGTGTTTAGCATGAAACAGTCTGTCACCTCTGAATGTTGACTTCAATGCCCACTTACATATATATATGTATGTATGTCTGTGTTCTGCTTTTTATAAAAAAATGATCTTGTATATCTTGTAAAATGTATAGATGCTCTTTAATTGTACTGAATTATCACTAAAACCACAAATTGGATTTTCTGAAACTACATGGCTGATTAAACCATTAGTATTTTTTGAGAATACAAGTGTGTAGACCAAAGAACTTTCCTCATCCTTAACTTTTTACATATCAACAATACATTCATTTTTATCTTTTGGATTTTATGATTTACAAAGAATATTTTCTATTATTTTCAGATTAATGAACTCAGTCACATACCTGTCCCAGTCATGCTTATGCCTGATGACTTTAAAGCATTTACTAAAGCCAAAAAGGATAACCACCTGTTCAACAAGTATGTTCATTTCTTTTTATTACTCACCATTATTTTCAGACATGATGTCTTTCTGTTGACCAATCATTCTTATTTTTTATGTTAATACTTCTACAGGGCTTGCTTTTGTTCACATGAATGTGATTGATCTAGTTAATTTTTGTAACAGGCATTTGAATATATATATATATATATATATATATATATATATATATATATATATATATATATTCTAATTCACAATACCCATTATATGACATCACGCTAGACCATTTCAAATGTTCACCTTTCCAAAGAATGAATTCTAACCACCGCACACACACCACATAAGTTCTTGATAATGACTGCAATAGTTAAAAAAATATTTGAACAAAAATAACTAAATACGAACTTTGGGCAGTTTATCCCCAACTTTGAGCACAATATTTAACACCTTATTTGAAAATTGGAAAAATATAATAAAAAAGATTAAACAGACAGACCTTGTCAGTTCCTTTTAATCAAACTTGTTTGGAGGAATACTTGCTGACTAAATATGCCTTATATATATATATTGGGGGCACAATGGAGTAGTGGATAGTGGCTTCAATTGAGTAATCGGCGAGCCGAGTTAAAATTCTAGTTGAATCCATTATATTTACTTGCATGTTAATACCCTTAGGAAAGGCATTAATCCTCTTCTTCTCCCTCCAGCTATGGGTAAATAGCAGAACAGACTGGGTTCTATAGCCTTGGATGGCAACTGGTCTAGGAGGAGGACAACTCTGAATTCAAAACCTGCGGAGGGTCGTTTGGGGACCTTGTGGCACATAGTGCACCAGGTCTTCGTATTGGGTCCTTCAAAAAGTGCGGTTAGTTCTGCACAAAGCCTTCACTACTATAATCAAATCTTATGTACTGGTGTCTAAGCTGTCGTTTACTAGGAACTGAGCTGCTTGATCTTCATATGTCGAATATGACAAGAGAGTCCATCATATATATATATATATATATATATATATATATATATATATATATATATATAAAAAGGCAGGATGTGTGTGTGTAACGAATGCACAGCCACAATTTTTGATGGATTTGCATCAAAATTTACATGCACATGCTCCAAGTTAGTGGGAAGGTTAAGACCAACTTTGCATTTCCTAACTCCCATTGCTAGTGGAAATAATCAATTTTTTCATGCTTCTATGGCAGTTTTCATGTAGTTTGCGGCTATTTTCTACAGAGTGAGAGCCTATAGCTGGCTGCCACGAATAGGCAGGAAGATTTTATTGGCCAGCATGAGAGCCAACAGCTGACTGACACGAATGTTAACTAGCATGCTAACATGCAAAAAAATCGATAGCTGCATTTATCACAAGTGGGAAAAATTTAAATCTGCATGGCACTTTACTCCAATTGGCTCATTCTCTTGCTTAAACTCAACGTTGATTCTGATTCCACAGAACTGGGTTGGGTGTGAAAAAAGTATTTGTTGTTAACATTCTTTTTTTTCATTCAGTTTTTCCAGTTACGAGTCCTTTTTTTTTTTAAAGCTGATCGTTTTGTGTTCATTTTGTTTAGTTCTTTTTTTCACAGATTTAATGTTTAGTATAGAACTTAGAAAAAATTTGCAGTGTGAGATAGGCACGAAGTAAGGCATGTAGCAACATCAGCACGGCAAAGGGCACTCCTTTAAAGGCAAGGAAGGGCAAAAATATTTTATGTCAAATGATAGTGATTGCTGTATGAGTCATATGATTTTTGAATCAAACACAGGCAACACTGCTAGTATATATATATATATATATAATACTAATAATAGCTGGCCACTCTTATTCGATGATACCCGTCTACGATGGCGACTAGCCAATCCCTATTGCAGATGCTCACTCAGGCACATTTGTGTTTGCTCAACACCTACAGAGCCCACCTGTGCTTTATGCTGCAACTCTGCTGAGCAGACCTTTGTTATAGTTTCTGGGAGAGATGGTGTTATCAAGTGTGATCAACAATTTGAACAAGGCCAGTACGCTCAAGCCCTTGGCCATGATGACTTGTGGCTTTGTGCTAGCATATCCATCAATGGTCCCCAAGAGTTCTGTCTACCCAATTTCACTCACAAAGCTTGGGTCAACCTGTGGTATGGTTTTCAAGCACTTTCCAAAGGTGCCACACACTGTGATTGACCTTAATCCAGCCTGATATGATTAGGATTTCTCCTTCCTGACAGATCGACCATGGTGAGATTTGAACCTGGGTCTCATGGTCAGAAAGTGAATGTTCTAACCACTCTGCCATGCACCTATACCATATATATATATATATATATATATATATATATATATATATATATATATATATATATATATATATATATATATATATATATATATATATATATATATATATATATATATAGAGATTGTGTGTGTTACAGTCTTATTTACATCTAAAACCTCTCGGACACATTTCAATTCGGTAATAACAGGTAGAACATTGTATTAATAAAGGGAGATTTCCCCATTTTGATCATAATCAACAAAATTTCTTATTTTTAAAAATAATTCTCTAAATTTTAATTATTTTTTTTCATTGATTGTTCAAAAGTTATTGCTTTTATTTCTTGATTTACAGGTTACGTCTTGGTATTTTATGGAGAAACAATTTTGAGTTCTAAGTTGCAGTTTTAGTTAAATGTAGAATTAAATAATGCATTTAACAAGTAGATTAAATAATTGGGTGTGTATAGTGAATTTTACTTGTATTTTTTATGAAGCTCTATTTTTCAGTTTTACTTGTTCTAAGGTTTGTATTAAAGAGCCTAACTATAGTTATTTACTTAGCTTAGTCTGGTACACCGTCAAAGAATTGAAGTTCTCAGTAAGTGATTGAACTCACTCCATATGCAAATTTGTGAGATCTTGCTTGTCACGTGATAACAGGCACCTAATAATTGTGTAATTTGAATTCACAGCTCTAATTTGTAGACCTAATCTTTTGTATTATGAATATAAAGACCATTCTATTAGTTTCTCTCAGAGAATTAGAATTATGAATCATCTCAAATTTACCATATTTTTTAATTATACAATGAGAAACATTTATTTGTAAAGTACATATAGGCATAAATTGAGCAGAATGAAAACTTTGTAAAAGATGTAGAGACAAAACAATTGCGGGAGTGTACAACACTTCTTGTTCAGCTTTAATATTATGAGCAGGCATATATATCGAAACAGATGATTGTCAACATAAAACAGTGTTGAGAGAAATAGAAGGTGTAAAATGATTTTTGCCTGCCAATGGCAAAAGTCCAACTTTTCTCCCAAAAGAATTAACTAAAGAATATAAATCTCAATGTGATATGTGGGTGCATCACATTATCTTAGAAACAAAGATTGATTCCATTAACTGGAAGTAAAACTTCTGCAAAATTCAGAGTTCAGCTGTCAGTGAAGGAATTGACAAGAGTGGCTACAGTGACATAATTGGGATGTTTTACTACATTCCTGACTTGGGTCTTTCAAATTATCATCTGACCTCTTAGACAATATTATTCAGGTATTATTATTATTTCAGTTCCACACAGATGCCACTTTTGTTCCAAAATGACTCCTGTCTCAATAGCAAATCTGTCAGAGCTGACACAGTTAACCTGGTTGCTGCTCTTGAAAAGGACCTCCAATCAGTGGTTAACTGGGGCAGGAAATGGCTTGTAAATTCTAATGTCTCCAAAACTAGACTGCTGTCATTTAACCACTATAGAGAAATTTCCCTGTTTGCAGTTAACATGGCTGATGCTCGACTCCTATAGAGTGTCTCACTGTGTCTTCTTGGCTTCACGTTTTCAATTGACTTGAAGTGGAACAACTACATTGAATCAATAGCTGCATCTACTGTAAGAAAAGTTGGTTTATTGTGTCATGCCTGAAGGTTTTTCTCATCGTTTACAAATCTAGCATTCAGCCATGCATTGAATTCTATTGCCATATCTGGTCTGGTGCTACTGTGATTCATCTGCAATGTAATTGATCCTGACTTGGCATCTCAACTTCAATCACTTTCTCACAGATGTGATGTGGCTTCCCTCTGTCTTTTCTACAAATATTCTCAGAGCAACTACTCTGGTGAGATTTTTTCTCTGGTATCCCAATTACATGAATTTAAGAATACTACTAGATTGGCATTTAGGTCCCACCCTTTTACTGTTGAAATAGTTAAATGTACCCTCCCCCCATTTCTACTCCAATAGTTTTTCTTGCACTTTCTGATGGTGGAACTTTCTTCTGTTTACTTGCTTCACAGAAAATCTTCAAAAATTTAAATGCAACGTCAATTTCCACCTTCTTTTGTCTTGACATCCCCACTTCCATTCATCTTTTATCTTTTCCTCAATTCACAATATACCAATTCTTTTCTCTCACTTTCACTCTCTGTAACCCTCTGTGTACTTGTGGCATTCCCGCCTTGCTTGGGGTGAAATGATTTAAAAAAAAAAAAGAAATGTTTGTTATTTATGTTTTCATATTTTAAAGAGCCCTTCACTCCCCAGTCCCTGACCTACGTTTGCAAGATCTTAAAAACTTTCCTGCTCTTAGACTGTCCTCTATCTGACCTACTTTACAGTGAATAGCCTTGTATTACCACTGCTATTTTTGGATAAGTGTTGTCTGTTAAAAAAGTCATTCAAAGTTGAAGCATGAAATATTTATATTCATCAAAAAAAAAAAAAAAATTACTTTCTATTTTTAGTCTTTATCTTTTTCTTACAAAAGGAACTAGATATCCCTATTCATAAAGTGTAAGGAGTTTTATAAATCTAGAAATTTTAGTTGGGGTTACATAAAATTTCTGTATCATATTTACAATGTTATATTTGATGAAAATTGAATAATTTTGCTTAGTTTGGTGCTTTGGTCCTGCATTGTTTGGACACAATGAATTATATGAAAATAAACAAGAAATTATGTACTGTAAGTAAAGCTTAAAAAAAAGTTTCCCCTTGGGCAGTAACTGGAGAAATGATTACAAATTGAGAT